CCGGTGTGGTGTGTTTTCATGTCACGAAATGTTCGTTGGACTGTTGCGAAGGCCGTGTAACAACACACTGACAGACGGCAGCGAAAGTGCCTGCTATAGTCGTAATGTGTGACGCAACCTTAGTGAAAACAAGCGGGATCGAATCCCGGCGGTTCTCGGCGTCGTCAGATCCGGCCACATCGAACGGCCATATGTGTGTGTGTCTGGGTGGATCATCACAGAGCGCGGACCGGCTGACGCCGTCTGTCTCCCTTTCCCCGCCAATAACGGTACACACGACGCGTCGTACTACTGTGTCCGTAGAGCTGCTATACCAGCACGCCTGAACCGGAACGCGAACGCGAGAAAGTTTTCGTCACGGTGCGGTCGTGTGTCATTGCTAATCATCCGTCGCATCCTTCTGTCTCAGTCAACCAAACAATCCAATGGCATAGCAGGGAAAGAAAGTTCCACCCTCTCCCGTAATTCTCTAATTCTGCATATGTACACGCACATATAAAAATATGAATAAAGTAGACGGAGATGCATGGATAAACCACCTTTTATTGGTGTAGATTATAGATAGAAGGTTATTACTCCTTCCCCGCCATTTCATTGTAGTTATATTACTCGACTGCTGACGCAAAGGTCGAGTGATTGAACCCTGCTGCGGCCGCATTTTTGGTGGAGGCCAAAAATGCTTGGGGTCGTTGCACTTAAGGTGGTCGTCATTTTCGGAACCCTTCACCACGGCGTTCCTGGTAATCACATCGGGATTTTGCAACGTCAAATACAAGCAGTTATTGCCGCCCCGCCCCCCCCCCCCCAAAAAAAAAAAATCTGGCTGAGCCCCTGAATCAATCAACCAATCAGTTAATTATTTAATTAATCAGTCAATGCTATATTGTGGAATGCTCGGAAGGATACTCGTACACAATTATTTTCACCATACAGCACGAAAAAAGAAATCCCGGCGCTTATGTATACATTTCCCTTTCCGTGTTCCCGTTGTACGTGGAAGTGTCGGTAGCGGAACAGGAAATGGGGAGGGGGATGGCGTGTGTTGCAATGCAGGTGTGACTCGTTCACAGACGATTACCTTTGCGCGTATGTGGAGCACACTTAGCGCGCCTTGTCGGGTATATACCCGGCCGCATAATACAGCCGTGTATTTCGAGCCTAACTGGGCAAGCTATACTCAGTATTTTTTTTTTCTGGTTCCGGTTTTATTCCATGATACTATGCGGCGCATGATGGGCGCTTTGTTTGGCTCAAGAATAGCAGCGAGAATTTACATTTTAATCTCGTAAATTTACAAAATGGCGGCAGGCGCCGCCATTTTCTTTCCAACTTGGAAGCTTTACAATGCACGTATACGTCTAAGTACATTAGCCACGCATCTTTTAGAGGACGCGACGCGCCTTTCTCTTCCGGTCAGGGCCCCGTCGTTAGTGAGCAGGAGACTCGCATCACAAGCTGCTGGCAAAACGTCAGGAAGAGCATGGCTGCCGAAAACGAGCGTCTGACGATGAGATTCGTCGATGGCGCGCTTCAACGGTTGTCGGCACTTAAGAAAGAACATGGAAAATCTAGGGACTTTAGAATTCACGCCCCATAACCACTATATGATTATGAGGGACGCCTACCACCTCGCGCCTTATACGTCGAGCCGCTTCCTATATGTTCAAATTTTACAATGTCTATGCGTCTCGTTTGCCTCATTTATTAGAATCCGTAACTACTATACAGAGACAGATTTCGCAGAAGGGTACCTTGAAGGGCCAGTTGGTACATGATGCTGAGGGGAACAGCGCAAAAAACGGGACCGAGAAAGAATGAGCACACGACACAAGCGCTGACGAACAACTGCGTGTAAATTTATTACACCTAAAATATATAGCTGAAAACTAAATAAAACAACCAAGTCCACATAAGGTTAAAATCAAAAACGAATCTGCCACGAGTCGAAACGTCCTCTTTAATGATTGCAAGATATTCTCACGATATCGCACGATATCGTGCGAAATCAACGAGGCTTTCCATATCAAGACGAAAGGAAACATGTGCGTCGGTGAACCCTGACTCGCCATCTTGAAGAAAAGAGATAGTGTTTTTGAGTGATTAACTCTGACATTTCGACTCGTGGCAGATTCGTTTTTGCTTTTCATTCTTATGGGAACTTGGTGGTTCTATTTCGTTTTCAGTTATATATTTCCGGGTGTAATACATTTACACACAGTTGTTCGTCAGCGCTTGTGTCGTGTGCTCATTCTTTCTCGGTCCCGTTTTTTTGCGCTGTTCCCCGGCTCAGTAACAGATTTCGCGTTCGTCGCTTCGCGTACTCGAGAACCCCTCCTATACATACATATTTGTTATGGCGAGACGGGATTCGCGAGACGCCACTCCGCTTGTCCAAATCTTCCCCATGGGGCAAGGGCTCCCGGTTTGTTTTCGGCTTTGAAGGGAGCTGACGTGAGGCACGTACAGCGATGAATACGGTACGTGTGACACGTCGCGTATTGCCTCCCCGCGCGCCTACACTGCGGGGTATGCGACGACGATCAAAAGTCGACGGCTACATCCGTTCCCCGCTCCGGAGATCCCCCCCATCCTGGGCCCATCCCCTCCGGCCATTGTTTCGCTTGACGGATTGGGCGCCTGCGACCGATGTCTTCTCTGTTTGCGTTCTCGTCCCGCGGGATCAGTGTCGTCCTCCAAGAGAAGTCGAGCACGTCCCTCCTTGTCCTGTGATGCGCGAACAGTGACCCGCGCAGGGCTCTCAGCGTGTCGAGTCACGCTGGGTCACTTGTGTCAGTCGCAACGTGTGACCCGTATATCACTATTACGCGCAAGCTGCAGCCTATCCTGCAGCTTGCGTGCCGTCGCCGCGCTTGTTCACGATTGTGTGTACACAGATTGTTTATGCTTCCCCTATACTTCTTTCTGGCCGAGAAGTCCGGCAGAACCAAATGAATCCAGCAGGTCACAGGGGACATTAATTGTTGCTTGTAACGGTGGCGTAGCAATTACGACGTGAAGTGTTCGAAAAGGGACTCTCTCCGTCAGTGTGATCCGAACCCACAACTTTCGGATTACGCGTCCGATGCTCTTTACCTGGGGTCGGGTACCCGTTCAGGCGGAGGCCCGATCGAGTTTCGTGAAGACGACACAGAAGGGGCCGCACGAAAAAAAAAAAGGGGGGGGGGCTGGGGGGTATGGATTTGCAGTTAAATAGAAAAACAAAATTTGGTCAATGGACAATACTTGTCAACGAAACTGCGAACTTTTCAGACACAGCGAAGTAACAACCGAGACCCGTTTCGTGCGTCATTTGTGCGTGAGCAACGTGGGGCACGTTTCGACCTGCTTGCCATTCTTCGCGTGACATTCCAATCTGTTGCTATCGCATTCATTGCTTCGCATTTGCGGCAAAGCTGTGACTTTCTTTTGCACATTTCCTCGCTCACCAAGCGTCATCTCGCGGTAAGGGCGCTGCTTTCGGTATTGCGAAAGGGTAAGAGAAAAACAGCTTTTTCTATTCACGTCAACCTGGAATGTTTCTGAGGAGTTCTCTCGACTGGGTAGCCAGCGTTCTTGTGCAGCTGCATTTGTCCGGAAACTAATTGTCCCGGCCTCGTTAAGGAGAGAGCCTCGTTAGCGTGCCGTGCAGCGTGAAGGATAATGGCGCGGAATGGATATTTTCCCGTACTTTTATTTTTTTTTCCGTCGTCGTTTGAGCCGCGCTCAGGACTATCGAAGTTGGCACTTCTTTTATGATGTTTGTTGCCATCAAAACGTATAAAGAAGAGTACCATTAATGAATAAGTGGTCGTTTATGGTGACACGCTGCCGCGAGTTTCGTTCCAATTTCGCGCAGCGTGCAGTTTTGCGAGATTATAGCTCAACCATGTATAATTACTGCTTGTGCCACTTGAACACTCTTTTCGAGTATATATCATATAAGAGATTTGAAACTTGTGCTATTGTGTTCCCATAAAGTGCCAATTATAGCAGAACACATTGAGAGGCTTACGCACAATCTGTGTGCCAGGACTTCAAGGGAGACTCCAGCCAAAATTCTGTTAGTTGGTTAGAGTTGCTTTCCAAGTCTTAATCAACTTTATCAACCACACGGACAGTTTTTCCACAAATGCTAATTTCGGGACTGCCATGTAGAGAGCAAAAAAAAAAAAAAAAGTGTAGACAACCTCTCGCACATATCATGGTTCTCATACTGTATCACATGTGCGCGACCTGATAATTTTTGCTTCCCCTTCAAATAATGAGCATTTGATTTCACTAGAAACCAACAGTTCAAAGCGTATATACTTAAATGGTTAATTTAGTGTGCTGCTGAAAATGCAGCAGCTACATTGATTGGTGCTCACTGTCAATGTAGCGATCAGTCGATATGGGGCGTCATATCCGAATAGCCAGCATTGTTTTCTACAGAGGCGAGCGTTGTAGTTCAACTGCGTTTGTATGTGTGCGGGCAATGCACATCCGAAATTTCAAGATGCGGACAGTGAGTTGAGCCCCCCCTCCTCCCCACTTCCTAGACACACCGTGCACTGGGCACGAATGCGGTAAAATGCTAAAAAATAACTGCAAGCTTTATGTGTGAATAATGACCTATTTTGCTTATCGAACGCAATGCACTACAAACACAAAACGGATAAGGAAACCGCAAGATAAGGACTATGTTGATGTATGAATAACGGGACTGATTCCGGGCGCGTTCAGCCGCAGGTGCAGTGATGGAAGTATTGTACCATCATTTCTGCGTTTTAAGCTGCAGATATATTTTACCTGTAGTTTATGAACTTCAACAAGTCGGGCTTTGTACGACATATATATATATATATATATATATATATATATATATATATATATATATATATATATATATATATATATATATATATATAATTAGTTGGTTTGTTAGTTAGTTGAAATTGCTCGGCACTTCGCGTTGTGGGGTGAGACGTACATGTTTTCTTCCTTACTCGTGCTTTGCGCAGAGGAGCATATCGTGATGACACCCCGGAAGAAGGCGGAGGGTCAGACGAACATCAAGATGGAGCGGGTGGCCCGGCAAGCACTCGACAAGGGCAACGTGATGCACGAGGCTGGCGGTGACCACCGGGGCATCGTCATCAACCGGCTCGCCAGCAGGGGTACGCTGATCTGTCAATTTTAAATGCAAAGCATTTCTTTGCTTTCCGTAAGCACGTGGAACGTCTATCTATCTATCTATCTATCTATCTATCTATCTATCTATCTATCTATCTATCTATCTATCTATCTATCTATCTATCTATCTATCTATCTATCTATCTATCTATCTATCTATCTATCTATCTATCTATCTATCTATCTATCTATCTATCTATCTATCTATCTATCTATCTATCTATCTATCTATCTATCTGTCTGTCTGTCTGTCTGTCTGTCTGTCTGTCTGTCTGTCTGTCTGTCTGTCTGTCTGTCTGTCTGTCTGTCCGTCCGTCCGTCCGTCCGTCCGTCCGTCCGTCCGTCCGTCCGTCCGTCCGTCCGTCCGTCCGTCGATAGATAGATAGATAGATAGATAGATAGATAGATAGATAGATAGATAGACAGATAGATAGATAGATAGATAGATCTATCTATCTATCTATCTGTCTATCTATCTATCTATCTATCTATCTATCTATCTATCTATCTATCTATCTATCTATCTATCTATCTATCTATCTATCTATCTATCTATCTAATCTGCTTATATCTCGGTGTTCAGCATGTGGTAAACCAAAATTAGCATGGGAGGTTAAAATGATTTGAGGAATACGAATCGCTGGTCATGCCATTAATAATGTCCCAATCCTGTCGCGTGTGTCGCCAAACACTTTCCAATAAACAGTGGCACATACCCGGGTATGTGCCACTGATATGCGGGTATGTGCCACAGGTGATTGACTGTATGTCTACCCAGGAACGACGAGAACGCACATGGATAATTTTAATGCTTGATTGTTAAAGCGGACATCAGCATCGTTGACCGGATGAATGCAAGGAATAAATGTCATTGTCCCGTCAGGAATCGAACCCAGCACTCTGCTGGCCAATCAAGTATTCTACCGCAGTGCCACGCCAGGTCTCGGAACCACCTTTTAAATGGACCCTGATGTGGTCGCAGTGCTGACTTCCCTATTTCATAAATATTACATATGTTCTCCTACGATACAGCCGTCACGTCAGGATTGTAGTCAGGTGTCATCCGCTTGAGTTTATCCGCGAGCATGTAGTGCTTTATATCGGCTTACTGCTTCTGGTGTTGCTAATGTCCATGTCGCTGTTGGCATCATTATGCTTTATATCGGCTTACTGCTTCTGGTGTTGCTAATGTCCATGTCGCTGTTGGCATCATTACGCAACTGTAATCAACTGGCGGTATAAAACATATATGCGGCTGTTTAACTTATGTCTGTGCGTGCATTTGTACATATATTTAGCACAACTTCGTAACGTTTCGACCAATAAAAAAAATTACAACGCCGTCAGCTTGCATGTGCATTCTTCGCATATTGTCCATTCCTAAGGCACGTGGGATCTGCCTAATTTTTTTCTTTAAATCTCCCAGTTTTCTGTATAAACTGTATAGCGCTGGAATGGGATCAGAGCATTGGAAGTCAGGGCCCTGGATTTTCGCTTTATAGCTGTGCGATCTCAAACTGCGCTCTGTATAAACTGCACAAATGAATGATAAGGAAGACTTAGGAGGAATTCATGTAACTCAGCATTTTAAATAAGCACGAACATTACAGAAAATGGTTTGAACCTTGATGTATTTACTCCAAGAGGGGGTTCACACATTCGTGTTTGGACGTTGCTATATAAACACTCACACACAGTCATGTTTTTTTTTTTAAGTTATCTTCGCCTCAACACAGAGCGCTGTGTGGTGAAGCATATTAAACGTAAAAAGGTGACACGGTCATGGGGCCTGGAACATGTAATTTAATTGTTCACGCCTGCAAGCACCATCTCCCGTTTCAGTACGAGTACCGAGGTGTATTGTAAGTATATTGGCAAGACTTCAGCGTTCGCAGCCGTCTTGATGTGGGCCTTGCACGTCTAAGTGTAATCCTGGATGGAGGTTGTTGCTGAGCATGCACAGTTGTTGAAGGCAGCGATGATGATGGCATACGTTGATTGTTCATTTTTGAAACGAACACAGTGCACGGACTCTGCACAATGACAAACATGAATGCCCATATTTAACAATTACGCTTATTGGAATACTTGCTGCTTGTGTTAATATGTGCATTCTTTTGTTCTTATGCCGTGTTCGGGCTACAACTTACTTGAGGCTGTGTTTTAGATTTGTTTTATGAAATGGCATTGGAAATAATTGGCTTTTTTATCACATCACTTTATTTTTCTTAACCCCTCGAGAGGTAGATTAAGAAATAAAAATTATTTTATTGCCACGAGTTTTTATTGTGAAAAATAAGGGGGCAGTTTATTCAAAAATGTTGATGGGCAGGAAACAGCGTCTTCATGAGGAAGGTTATTCGAGTCCTTCGCAGTCTGTATAAAGAAAGACATAGAAAAAGTGGTCATTTCAATACATAGCATTTTAATACTAGTGTGGTGAGATATACGGGCTGGTGGAATAATCTAGGGATGATAGAGCAAGCGCTGAAAAAAATTTTTGAAAAAGGCAGAGGCTGGAATGCATTGGCAGATGCCAAGATTTAATAGAACTGATTCTTTTTTGAGGGATGATATACAGGTATATGAATATGAAAAGTGAATTAACCTAATAATACGGCTTTGAACTGCCTCAAGTGAGTCGATTAGGAAAGCTAAAGACATATCGTCGTGGATAGCTAGGATATGTTTTCATGTGCTTTAATTCATTCTAGTATTAATTAAAGTAAACATTTAGCATTGCCAATGCCCAGAACCTGCTGCAATGTCAGCGTGTTATGCAACTGTAGAAACTATTTTGAACTCGAATGTTTTAGTACCGTGATGCTCGATTTTCTTTTGTTTATAGATGACGATGATGATGATTCACCGGAGATCTCACTGGAATTTCGTGTTTTCCTCACCAATGTGGTAACTGAAGTCCATACACGAGTAAGTACTGTCGGTTTTTCCTTAGTCTTTCATATTTTAAATTTATTTTACCGCATTGAGCACGGCAACACTTAGCTTACACTAATAGAAAGAGAAGTGTCTACTAGCAATATATGTGTGCACCCCTGAATGTAGAGATCTTGCTTGACTTGAACTCTACTTCTGCCAATCCCAAGACAGCTTGACCACTCAGCGTGATCGTGCTGGACCTTGTGGAGAACTTGGTCTGGTTGAAGTTCGTTTAAATATTAAGTGTATTCTGTGGCTAGATTGAAACGAACTTTGCACAATATTCCAATATGGCCACCCTCGTTGGCAATGCATTCTCTTCTGTGAAATTCTTTGAGAATACTGTATCGACCTTATGAGTAATGAATTCGATGGAGACGAAAACTAGTAGCACGTGGCCCTGTGCATACTGTCACTGCCCTACGGTTTTCCTGACCTTTATCGTTACAAAATGTGCTACCCTGTCTATCAATTGTCAAGTAGGCTGCTTGACATGCATGCAAAAACATCTCTTTAGGACACACGACCTATGTACTTTTGCACAATGCAGCATACGTTGCCTTGATATTTCAGCTAAAATCCCTATAGTTTTGTTGGCACCGACATCTGGAACACAATAACCAACTGTCCAAGCCAGAAATCGGGAAGCCTTCATTTACGGACAGCAAAGCTTTCACATGATGGCAATTGAATCCCTGAGCACAATGGTGCATTCTGTGCACGTTGATTGGAATGCTGGCTCCGTTCCCTGCAGCACCGCAAGCCGATTGAAATCTCAATGATTTTGCTTCGAGAAAAACTGAAATAGCAGCAGATGAACCAGCCCTTCTCTATCTTCTCTGTCGCTAATTATGCAAATACACAACCCAAAACAATAGAATTTAAAGAAAAGTGCCGCTCTTGGGAGGCCACTGGAACCTGAGGGCAACGGACACTTTCCACATGCAACTTGCAGCAGTGGTGGGCATCACAGGGCCATTCGCCACTGTCAGCCAAATTACCAGATCATGTTTGTAGCACTTTACACTGATAGATATTTTGAAATGTGCACACTTTTTTTTGCTGTACTTTACTACTACACTAAAAACTTTATTATTAACTTCTATACCACACCTAGCAACGTGCTTTTGCATTGACGGTTAATCTTGGCCCGACGAAGTGTTTATGAATCGCAAAAACCTGCCTTGCGTGCTTTCGAAGTCTCCTTCTTGTTTCTGGCCAATTATTTTGGGACAAGTCAAACCAGTTATCCAAATAATATTTCTGACTCGGAAGTAAATTAAAGATTGGCTTACTTTTGCAGCTAGCCAACCTTTTTCTACGCTTTATTGGTGCGATATGGTAGCCCAAGAATTGCCAAAGGTTAACTTTATAAATGTGTAGAACAATCCAGAACATGAGCCTAGGTAATTTTTTTCTGCAGAGAAAGAAAGCTTATAAAACAGTTGACATGAAATTTTTGCATTAACATTGCTGTATTGTATAGTAAAATATTTTATTGATTAGAGAGCCAGAATTTTTTTTTAGACAGCTTAAGATCCAGCACACAGTACGCTTTGAGCTGGAATATCTGTGATACATTTCTCTTTGATTTCAATCAGGTTTCAAAAGTTTTATAGAAAAATGGAAAACATTGACACACTTTTTCTTTTCACTACAGGAAAGCAGGGAGCTCAAATTCTGGTTCAAGCCAGGAGTGACCAAAATGACCAGCGCCACTCGGCCCAGGAATTTTTCAAGGAACTGGTCAGCCCCAGCGACTTTCCCAGAGGTGAGACTACATATAAGGAAGGCTAACCTGAAACAATAATCAATACTTCAACCTAGAACCTGCTGCATGTTAGACCTCGTCTATTCGGCCCTGGGACAGCATGTCAAGTCTTGCAGTTCCAAATGCCTACTGATCACTTCTTTGCTCAGTTGTTTGACACATGCTTCACTCAATCTCTGCACATTTTCTCTTCATCATTTCCTCACATTTTGTTTAGGCATGCTTCTGAGACCAAAAGCATTTCATGACCTTGATTTCTCACAACATCCTTATGAAAAGTATCCAAGGAAGCTTATATCATTGCAAAAGTTTTGGAGTTACATCATTAATTTGATAACATCATGCATCATCATCATTATTAGAACATGCACACTGTTTTCTTAGCTGCCAAGTTGTTGCAGTGATAGGTGTGATGGAGCAAGTTCAGATCATGGCCACGGCGGCTGCTGTTCATGAGGCAAAATGCAAAAACACTCGCACACTTGAAGAAGCCCAGTTCGCCAAGGTTATTTGAAGTCTGGAGTCTCCCACTACATGTAAACTTTATGATCACATCATAAATTTTGCCTGTGAAACCAAAGAATTTAATTTTAATTAATTGATGATCATTTAGAGCATGGAGGTCATATTGCTTTTAAGCATTTTACAATTTACAGTAACTGTGTGTTCTCCACATAATTTTCATAAGTCAGTAACTTCTTGTTCTCTCTACAATCTCCCTTTTTTAAAGGGCCACTCACCAGGCCCCATACCGAATTTTAGTTAGACAGTGGAAGTTGTTGGGTGTTCGATGAGGAACGTTTTGCCACAAAAATGTTTCGAATCGGTTCATTACGAGCGGAGAAAACAGTTTTTTTTTTTAAGCGGCATGAAACGAGGGAGAGGAGGTGAGTTCGAAACCCTTGCCGCTACTCTGCGTAGCCTTCGCAAGCCAAATCTCTTCCCTACCCTCTCCGGCATCCGACCAAAAGGTGACGTGCGCATGACGTGCCCGAACAAGCCCAGCCCCCGTGCACGTGGTGTTGCTTTGTTGACCAGCGTTATTTTGTGGTCTTCTGCCCATTTCTGCGGGATGGTTTGGAAATGCTGGCTTAGACGCGGTAGAGTAGATGAGCACAATGAGTGCGTGAATACGTAGGAGCGTTCCACGGCGGTCGTCTGCTCAATGCGCTGACCGCGGGGACCCGAACGCATGCGAAACGCTGGCACATTAGACCCGCATCTCGTAGCATTTCACGGGAAAAAATGCAAGAAAAACACGCACAATTTTTTATTGCGTCTCATTATTTACTTCAAATTTTATTCATTTCTTAAAGCAAGAAGTACATAAACTACGCATGTTGTGTTAAATAATTTTTGCCATGTCACGTGGTATACTGTTGACAACGTCAGAGCAGAGTCGTCTGTGTAGAGGACACCAACGTCACTGCATTGCCGTGTACGTAGGGCCATTCCAATGCCCGCGTCATGCCCTCATTCTCTATGCGTGCACCGGCAGAGGGGAGGGGGAGCAGCTTTCATCTTGAAGTTTGATCCATTTCCGCGGCGCGTAGCGACGTGATTATGAACGCCTCGTCTAGGCATTGCGCTTGTCAGCTCAAAATTGTCAAACCTGGTGAGTGGCCCCTTAATTTAACATGCACATTTTGTGCATCATTAAAATATCAGTCCGATATTAATGCCATGTTTCTAGTACTAGTATGTTGAGCATAACAGTTAATTCTCACTGTTGTGCCAATGGTTGTACACCTGTGCATTAATGCTTCATCTCCACATCTGTGTCTATATCATAAAATCTCTGGCACCACATCTTCTCAAAAAGTATTAATGGGTGCCATTCTCAGAGGCACCACAAGAAGTGCAGTATTACCTAACTGAATGAACGCACATTATACTGTAGTGATATGCTAACCTTGCGTAACCTTCGAGATATTTACGCCCAGTCGTCTGATTTGGAACAAGTTGACTCGCCGATTTCAGTGGCCCTTGGAATGGTGCATCAATTGGTGCTATTAAATGCACTGTCTTCTCTGATGGATGGAAGGAGCATTTTTCTTTTTTACATATCCTTCACTTCACGGATGGGCTTCTTGTGATATTATATAACTTTTTGCACTGAATGAAGACTGCCAAAACAGTTAAATGTGTACAAATGGATGACTTCACGAATTTCTTTGATATTTGTCATTTACAGATTACGTGGGCTTCATAAAAAAGATCATGAAGCTGATGCAGATAAAGTATGTCAACATGCGCAAGGTGGAGATTGAAATGCGTCAGCTGGAGAACATTACCGAGCCTCCCCGACGGCCCAGTAAGGTTCTTTCATTGTATTGCGCCCTTTGTATAGGTGAATATACTAAAGCGATGGTGCCAGTACTGAAGCTACATTTAATCACATAGTTTTAGTGAATTCTCTGCATGTTCATATTTATTTACCGTGTGCACAATGTTTAAACTATATAGTGAAAGTAGTTTTTCTGAGGAGGCGGTATTACTTGTTGCCGCGTGTTGAGAGTTCGTGTTGATATTGATGTTGATGTTGACAGCATTGTCTGCAGGGAGTCTCTGTTTCATACGAAAATTGTGTTATTTCATATGTGCTTTTACTGTTAACCTAAAATATTTAATAATTCATTCAGAGGACTGCAGCTGATCTGGCTACACACAGTAGCTCAGACTTATTTACCAGGTGTCAAAAGTGGGCATATTGCTACCAAGGTCATGGAAGCATCTTGAAGAATTCGGGCGCATTTGCCAAGGACTCCGATGGTGTTCATGCGAATTAATGCTGTGCGATTACACCTAATTGTGCCAGCTGAGTCACTGGCAGCCCGACTTGCAGACCCTTGGCTTTCCCTGACTTTGGGGCGAGACTCTGAGCTTCCGGACAGCATTTCTTCCCTGACGGAAGGAACAGTCAACTTCAGTCCTGACCAAGTTCATCTTTTGCATCGAGAAGGTGGCGACCATACTTAGTATATCTGCATCTTGGGGATGCTGCTTGACCGTCCCTCAGCATGTTTGCATTCGAGAACCACCTTGGCTCCACTGGCATGCCAACGTCGTTACACATTACTATGAACAGCCTGCAAATTGAGTGTCATACTAAACCTTAATTGGAAAATTGGTGGTATGTTCTTGTTCTGAGAATGAAACTGACATTGCCATAATGTTTATGGCAGTAGATAACTGTATGACTAGTGGTATTCTCTGTGCCTTCTGCTGACACTACAGAAGGTACTGCGTTCCATGGTTCTGAGCACACTCCATCTGCACATCACTGAAGCTGTGCAGCTACAGCAATCGTGAAATGATGATTCGTAAATTTGCAGTGATTGACACATTAAAACAACGCGGCATTTATGCACCTCGTGGTTGTTCCAAATCAAAGAGAAAAGTGCAGCAGTAGGTAGCAAATGTGCAAGTAGGAATGGGAAGCAATTGTTCTGACAACCGTCTAGGCTCAAGGCTTATTTTTCCTTGTCTTATACCAACCCATGTGAATTTTACAACCAATATGAAAGGCAGTTGTGTCCACACACCACAAACTGATACAGGTCAACAGGCATGATGGCTGCATTTAGAGAGTAGCAAATGTGACAGAGCTGTAAACTTTTGCTGAATTGCTCTTTCACTCTGCAAAATCGAAGAGTGTCCTGCAGGTAGCATGTGCGGTAATGTTTAAAAAAAATTAATACAGTTCTCTTTGACCTAGTGCAAAAAGTGCAGATTAATCAAAGACCCTTTACTTTTCCAAGCATATAAAGCAAACATCTTGATTCATGGCACTCTCAGTGAACAGTCCCAAACAATAATGTGAGAAATCACCAAGAAAAAGCACCAAGAGCCCGGAAATCGATACTGTTGAATATTTTGTGGAAGGCGACGAGTGACACTATCATCAAGTTAAGATCAGATCAAAACAAGGAATAAAGAAAAGGTCGACGGCGGGCTTTGTCATGAGTACGGCAGGCTTTTCCTTTTCTCCACACATGCCAAACCTTGATTGGAAAAATGGTGGTATGCTCTTGTTCAAAAAGGGAAGAACTTCTCAGCATGTGTTCTTGTGTCATTCCCAGATGGAAAAATTCCAGCTGGTTTTAGCTAGTTTCAGCTGGAACCACTTGAACTAGGTTGTGGAACAATTCCTAGCTGGAACGAGTTGCCAGCGGGTCCCTGATAAAACCAGTTGTAAACTGGTCCCAGCTGGAATCGGTTTATTTTATCCCAGCCGGAACTGTTGACTTGGTCCCAAGTTGGACCTGTGCCAACAAACGCCAATGACGCAAATAATGGCACTGCATAAGCGTGAGCCAATATTTTTACAACCATATGAATATATCGGTTTGAGGACACATGCAATGCAGTTGTGGAGGCATACAGTGTGATGTGCATATGATGTCAGCAAAACTGAAAATCTTTTACTTGTATTCACACCTATTGTAATAAGCAAGTATTATTTATGACAGCATTCAGATATCTAACCATAGGGTAAAGAACCTTCGTTCTAACTGACTGACTGTAAACCTTAAATTTATTTCTTCTGTAAAGGTTATGGTTTTGAAATTTGGTTACATATCTTGTGCTACAATACGAAACAGACAAGCATTCTCAAGAACCACGTGCAATAGCTAGTACTTGTGGTTGAACCACATGAATTTTATATTTAGTCTTGGGTACAATTAACCTGGGTTGCTAATTCTACACAATCAAAACGATTCCTGCTAGATCAACTAGTACATGCATTGTGGCTCCAGATCATTCGATTTAATTTATTTCCAGACTGACTGGTTCCACTTTGGATCCACTTTCAAACCACCTAGTTCCAGTTGATTTCATTTCCGGAGTGTAGTGGTTCCTGTTGTAGACCAACTGGAATCAGCTGGTAGCTAGTTGGCTTCCAGCTTGCCACTACTGGTTCCAGCTAAAACCAGCGAAAAAAAGAATATTTTCACCTGGGTTATTATCGGATCTGATGCATTAGTTCAAAATGCTTTCCCGTGTGTTTAAGGTGTCTTACACTGGGGATACACTATTAGATGGTGTATGGACAATAAAACTTGTGCAGCAGTGTTTACTCAATATCTCTATCGCGTGCTAGCTTCCAGGGAACTCCAGTGTAGTTGGGACTTGTCACTTGTGCAGCTGAAATTTTGCGTTTCAAGAGAAACCAACCAAACATGCTATGATGAATAAACTGCTTAGTATAGTGTAGTGCCATGAGCAAAATATTGCAAAAGTGAAAGTGCAAAACTGTCATTTATGTAGAGTGAGAAGGAACAGAAAAAAAAGAATGAGAGAAAGAAGAACCAGTTTTAATTTCATGAAAGTTCTTCATTTTTGCTGCTTTCTACAGAACTGCTCTGTGAGTATAGTAAGACCAGCACTCATGTTAGTCACTGTATTATTTTTCACTTGAACATTTTCTAGTCCCATAACAGTTAACAGCTGTATGTCAAACTACTATATCACGTTCTAATCCTAATAGTACTTGATCCAGTGGCAGTTCAGTGACTATTGCTGAAACTGATGTTAGTTCAATTCCTAGCAATGGCAGCCACATTCTTTGCAAGCAATGTGCAAGTGCAATGCAAGAACACTTGTTTACTTAGAATAGAATAGAATGTATGTTTATTTCGTGAGCAATAGGTACCGTGAGGAGTGAGAAAAAAGATGCTTTTAGGCAGGTTTACAATGCGCTCATCTCCTGTATGTTCAAGTGCTCTTGAAAGAACCCTAGAAGACTGAAACTATTCCAGGGTCCCTCTGGTACAACGCATGAAGCTGTAATGTTGCTTTTGGATGCTTGCTCAGATAACTTGTTAGAACTTGTTACTTAATTACTATTCTGAAAAGTCAACAGCAGTTTTGTTTCTCTGCACTAGCTTGTAAGTGGCAGTATGTACTTGAACTCAAAACCAGACTTACTTATCTCAAGCCAGCTCCTGCAGTTTCATTGTTTTATATTTAGTAGAGTATTCATTGTTCAGTTTTAATGATTGAAACAAGGTGTAATGTTGTGTGTCATTTTGTTATGAATTTAATACTTACAACCAACATTGCCTGTACTTAGAACATTGTACTGTTTAAAACTGTACAGTTAACAACACTGCTTTTTAAAACTACAAACAAGCTACTAACTTTTGTTAAAGCCTAGAACATGTTCGTCTATTCTTGTATGAGGGATGTGCTTTGTTTTTATCGATGAACCACTAACCTCGTTAGGTGGCCTTTTAGAAATCGGCACTTACAAACTGCATGAAAGTAGTCAGAGTAATAGAGTAACAGACTTAGCTCAGTGCTTGAAGTTTTCTTTCTATATCTCAGTTTTGCGAGTGATTGCCTACTGGCGCCTGCTATGTTTGTATCGATAAGTGCTGCTTGATGGTTGCAAAACCGTTGACAATTTTATGCTGCCATTACTTAAGCAGGAACATGCTGGATTGTGCCTAACTCACATGAATGTTAGTGTTGTTTGTACCTGCTTTTTCTAACATGTGCATCAGCCTAACAGCACTGGCTATTATTGCAGTGATTGCAGTTTCTAAGAAGATAGCGCTTACGTAGGCTGGGACAGTGCAGTTTTTATGCCCACAGCTTTAAAACATGCTACTGGTTATGCATTTATAATTTGTACTGGCTTTCGATACAGTTACATGTTCTTGCATGTTACATAGTGTAATATCAGACTTCATTGGTCAGAAACTATGACATATCGTAAAATGCCAATCAGGTGCCCCCCCACCATGCAAGCACCCGGGCCCTTTCCTTTTTCGGGAAATCTGAGATATAAGTACCAAATACCGTAATTACTCGAATCTAACGCGCACCTTTTTTCCGGTTAAGCGAGTTCATAAATCGCATGCGCGTTAGAATCGAGTACGAACAAAAAAGTTACAATCAATCTATTGCCATCGGCAAGTCCAAAATGGCCGCCCCCTACGTGCTTCGGCGCGCGTCGGCCATTTCTGCCTATGTGTTTCCCATGTGCGGCACTTCGTACATGTGCTGAGGAGTTCGTCATCTAGTAGTGCATTAGCATCGACGGCGTGGAAGGGCCGACTTCAAAAACTCGAGTGCACCACGATGCCGCTTTTAAAAGAAAAGTCATCGCGTGTGCAGAAACGGACGGAAATCGGGCCGCATCGCGATCATTCGGAGTTCCCGAAACGTGCTTGTGGGACCGGTGGAAACAAAAGCAGAAGATTGTCGACAGCAAAGCTTGACGCAAAGGCTTCAGTGGACTACAGCAGGGTCGGTTTCCGCAAATTAAAGAGCTGCTCGGCGAGTATGTGCTTGAGCAGCGAGCGGCACGGCGGCCCGTGACGGTAGAACTGCTCCAAGTGCGGGCTATGCAATTAGTCTTAGAAAAAGGTCTAATGCGGAGCCAGTTTAAAGCGAGCAGATGCTGGCTAACTAACTTTATGAAGAGGAAAGGCTTTTCCCTCCGAAGGGGAACATGCATATGCGAAAAGTTTTGCGGAGGAGTACGATGAAAAGCTTCACAGTTTTCAGAGGTTCGTCCTAAACTTGCGGCGCAACAACGGCTACCTGCTTGGGCAAATCGGGAATGCCGATCAGACGCCTCTTTACTTCGACATGCTTGGCACCACAACCGTCGAGAAGAAGGGGGCGAAGCAAGTTCGCGTGCTGACATCGGTCCACGGTAAAACTACAGTGACGGCAATGCTCTGTTACACGTCAGATGGGCACAAGCTTCGCCCGTACCTCATATTTAAATGGAAGACGCTCCCGAAAGGAGTCGTTTTTTCGAGGGGTGTGATCGTGCGGGCCAGCGAGAAAAATAGTTGCGCGTTGCAATCGATGTCTTACGTTTTTTTTTTTTTTTTCCGCGGTGGAAATCGGGTGCGCGTTACAATCGAGGGCGCGGTAGAATCGAGTAAATACGGTATAAGCATTGTAGGAGGTGATCGCTCAGCATTTTACGATAGTTCAGTTACTTGCATTATTGCATGCATTATGTTGGCACTGTCTCCCAAATGATAGAGTGTCTTGGATAACTTTACGCCAACAGCTCTCTTTTAGTTTTCATTTAGGTATTATAGGGAACTGGGCCCTGGGCAGGCATTTCGCTGCTTAACATAAAATTACAGGTTTGATAGCTGACCCCACCAGTTACACTTTAGTGAGGCCACAATGTGAATTTGCTTGTGGCCTGAGATTTCTGTGGTCACTGAGAATATTGGAATGGTTTATATTAATCCATAGCCATGAACTAAGGAATTTCATCCAACCCAGAAGTGACTTTCGGGTATAAATAGTATCGGTCAATGAAATTAAAAGTGGTATCTTTGTCGTTTCCACAAGTGTTGATTCTTATTTCGTACTCACTTAAAATTTTTATCAACTCCTAAAGCCAGTTGTCTGTAAAGTCTTTTTATAGCACTGCTGCGCTCTGATGCTGAGAAGCGTAATTGGTCACAGAGGCACTTTTAGTTTTGAAATCAAGCAGACAGCCATGACAATAAGCAAAATTCAGTATTTCATACTCTCAATTTCAATTTATTCTTTCTATTTATGCCATGCAAAACACTCAAAATATATTTAGCAGTGACTAGTACTGGTAAATGTAATCAAACATCATGGAAGTAATTTGCAAGATAAGTTGTTGCAACAAAAAGTGCAATAACAATTATTAGACAATCAACATATATTACACACACTTGCAACAATACAAAAGCAGTGGGCTGTGCTTTTCGCAACATCTGCAGTGCATTCTGGTAGGCTCCAGAACCAAACAAGAATCAGCTCTGTTGTGAAGCGGGAGGGTGTTTCACTTACAGTGTCTCTGGATGACAGCACACTTGAGGCCAAGATGGAGCTCACTCAAGAGAAAGTCCTGGAAATTATAGAGTCAGCTTATCCCAACCCTGTGTCCCTCGCTGATCTCGCCAAGTGAGTATTCTTATCTTGCACGCAACTCAAGCTGCCGGGATTGTTCTGAAGCATGCCATTCACACTGCAGTTTGTAACCGTTTGATGAAAATATGTGGCATTTAAAAGCATTCTAGTTCAACCTAAGCTTCTACTGGCTGCTATATTGGAAAAAAAAATCTAATTTCCTATTTATACAACATTTATTAATACCTTTATCGGCAATTGAATAATAAGTGCTGATAAGTTTGCATTGGCGCCTCATTTGTTTCATAACACCTTCTATGAGTTTCTTGCTGAAACTTTCGGAGCACACATGCCGTGTGTGCAGTAAGTTGATATTTGTTGAGAATTGAAAGGAAAATGTGGAGCCCTATAGGCAACCATTTATTTATGCAGTTCATTAAATCAGTGCTCTTGTTAAACTGACATTGGACTTTAACCAAGCTAACCACCTGCTCATTTTTTTTTCTTTTTTGCCATATCTCTTAAACCGATGCATGGTGGCAGTGTGCACGACATTGAAAACGGTGTGCATGGAGGGAACACTGTTATCGCAGCAACACTGGGAGCCCCCCTTGTTGCTAAAACAACAACAACTTCGTGTAGGAACACCAGCCGTGCCCCAGAAGAAGTTCACTTGCACCTGCGTGAGCTACTGTCGAAGAACCTCATCAAAGAATGGAGTCCGGGAGCTTCACTCGTGTGGTCCAGAATGACACTGGCAAGTTGCCTTTCATGCGTAGCGGGTTGCACTCGTCCCTGGTGCTGCAAACTTGCCATCCTGGAATCCCTTTTGATACTGTAACTCTTTTGTTTGTCTTGCAAGCTTGGAACAGAATGGTAGTGAAGCTGTGTATATATTATAATGTAAAATTAGATTGAAGTGTTCTTCTTCCCATAAATATCGCTTCACTTTTATTCTGTTAGTACAGCAAGCATGCACGTGAATGCCAGTGTGTTGAGATGTTCTGGGAAGTGTTGCGAAATCGGTGCCTCCATTCCATTCCAATTCTATTCCAGGGAATTGCAACTTTCCACAATATTATTCCTTTAAATTCCTTGGAATTGAAAAGGGTAGCCCATTCCCACTTCAGGAATGGTCGGGCAGGTCAATTCCATTCCTAAAATTCCTCCACATAGGAAAGGCATATCTTGATGGCTTTGTTGAGCTAAGAATGATTGTAACAACACTAAGCTAATGTCATCAGATGCATTAAGAATAGCAAAATTATTCAAAACACGTTACCACGGTCGAGGGAGTAGCTTAGTGACTTATCTCGTGCCGTACAACTATACTACTGGTTCCCATATTGTTCTCCTGCTACCTATAGTATTTTCATGGTCAACACAATCTTAGGAAAAAAGTAAGTAAACAGTTGGAAGCACATGTATTTGCTTGTTTCAAGCATGTTTTGCTATCTTCACAACATCTCTTTACTATAGCCAGCAGCTAGGAAACCTTGAAACTTTTGCCATTACGAACCAAGAATGCTTTCTCGGTCTATTTAACTAGGTAACTACTAAGCCACATACATTTCTAGATGTCTTGTAAACACCACCGTATACCCAGCTGTAATTGTGACACACTAGAAAAATTTAGACCAACCTTAATTTGCCGATTAATTCGGAATAGAAGTTTCGTGCTTAGTGATGGCACACATATATGCAAATAGAAGGGCAGACAATGATGTATACAAAATCACCATTATTTATCTCAACTCTATCGCTGCTAACCAGTACACAGGGTGCTATTTCAAAGTAGGAGCGTCAATAGCCTTCAAACGGCTGCTGCAGTAGGTACCGGCTAAGTCTTAGTATACTATATGCGCGTTTGTGCGTATGTCCTCATGTGTGATTTGTTCACACCTCTATGTATGTTGCTGTGATCGTGTATATGTCTGGTAATTACAAGAAGTAATTAATAAACACTAATTAATCTGTGTACAATGACACTCCACTTATTATCCTATATATGATTCCGTAATAGAATTATCTTGATGAGACAATGTACATGTGCATATAGGCGCAGGTTAACTAAAAGTTTAGTGATATTATTAATGATTTGAGTCAACACTATTCACGAACTACTTAGCAAACTAGCAAGTTTCATCATCTGTATTTTAGTACCTTCACTTATCAGGAGGTTGGTGCTTTTTGTGACAAGTAAACGGTTAGTATTTAGCTAGCGAATTGGCAGACCTTTTTTTCTCTAAGAGTGCGTGTTTGAACAAATGCTGATGTTTTAATATTGTTCAAGCTTTAATGCGCTAATGCTAAAATGACGACTTAGCAAATCTACACAAAGTGATTCAGGGATGTGCTGCCTTGGTTACGTCTGATCCCCTGCTTTGGCTAGCTACTCGTACTAATGTTTTCAAAAGTCTATTCTGTCTCTTTGTATAATTCATCTTGTACAACAGTTTATCACATACACAGTTCACACAGCACATAATTGATCATGTACGAATGTGTGCTGTGCTAACCTACAGACCTTTGCAATAAGAGTTTCGGGAAAGGCGCCCATGTGTGTAGGTAGGTGGGGGGGGAGCATTTTTGCAAAAAAAGGGGGAGAGGGCTAATATGTGGTGAGACGGCACGTAAGCTGGTATATGAAAGCTTGCAATAAACACAAGCATCGCACCAGTGTCAACACACGTAACAGCTTCGAGAAGTGTTTTTTCGAATAAGCATCCAAGTCACCGATGGCGGCAGAAGCAAAAACAAAGTGAAGGATGGGGGGCAGCAAGTGGCTAAGGCGCCACCGAGGTAGGGGGGTGAGAGGGAATCACATGGTGTAAGGTGGGTATGCCACAACAGTTGTTCCACATGACGGATACCATGGCATAGAGCCGTGGTTACTCGAAGAATAGAGGGAAACTTAGGAGCAACACAGTCTACATAAGGACATAATTATAGTACATGCATTGCTTGTAAATGCACCAGGCTTGTAATCAGCCAAGTATTTTTAAATTACTGCTTTATTGTTGAATTCGAGGGTCTCGCCTACTAATTGAAGTTTGAAAATCAGCACTTTTATAAAACAGCACCTTATTTTCGGAAAAAGACATAATTTCATTCCCATGCAATCCCATGCAAAATGTGCTTAAGTTAATTCCCATTCTATTCCTCCAAGCTTTGTCGCCATTCCATTCCCATTCCATTCCGGGGTCGTGAAAATGTGGTTTTTATTCATTCCGATTCCACAATGGGAACTCCGCAACACTGGTTCCGGGCATGAAAGACATGAAAGAAGGCCTCAGCAGGAAAGGTTACCGAGAGCTGAGCTTATGTGTCGCCTTGACAAAAAAAAAAGCAGGATGGGACAATCATATACATCCATTCTTAGAATGGAAATTAGCCCATATGTTCACTTTCATGAATTGAAAAGACAAGACATATGTTATTACCAGTGGCGTAGTCATGAGTAGCTAGTTCGGTGGGGTTCAATCCTCCTCCCACCTCAAACTTTCAAATTTTGTATGTGTACATATGTGTACACACAAATGCACTCACACATCCATAAAGATGTGCCCCCCTCCCCCCACATTCCATAAAAACATTTCTGGCTATGCCACTGGCCACTACATAATTTTACTACGGAATAAGAACAGAATTGGCAACTCCACTGTGTAGTGTATTATTGTGGTAATGCACCAATGGCATGGAACCCAAAATGCTCACTAGTGTGGACGTGCGTTTACTTGCTTTCGTTGCAATGCAGAGGTGAAGATGGTTCGCCAAATGCCCACGGTGCATGGCTCCCAGCAGCCGACCATTGCCATCATCACGGCCCAGTACTGTGAGAAGCTGGCTGTTGATGTCATGATTGAGAACAAGAACACCTTTGTGCGCTACAAGACTGAAGGTATGGGACACCTGATGTTTTTTGTTTGTTGAATTTTTTTTTTGTGATGATGGAGCTTGCTCATGTTTCTGGCTGTTTATTTTTATAAACAAAAGGAACAGTATCCTCAATGAAAACCTTTCACAGTTCAGTGATTTGTCTGAAATGGTCAAAGAGTGATGGGACGAAAAAGAGCATGATCGTGCATGGTGTCTGGCAGCATTTCATGTCTTGTTACTTTCTGACTGCATGAACTGCATGAAGTTAATACCGGATGTAGGCTTAGTGATGTGTCACTTAAAAGCACCAGCATCAGTCAGGCACACTGGCAGGTGCAACAGCGAAAGCACACTGGTTCATCCGAGCACACAATGCATCGTGCATTGTGCGCAGTGGCCTTGACTCTCAGCTCTTGTGTCTCTACTCTTTTCTCGTGCAGGCGAGTCCAACGTGTACACCCTGGGCAACATTGGTGCTCACCGAGTGGTCTCCACAAAGCTACCGGCGGTTGGCCATTCCCGGGCAGCGATCATAGCTGCCGGCAACACGACCACACGTCTTCTGGGTATGGCCACCATCTCTTTGCTCTGCCAAAATCACAATACTGAGCGCAAGAGGGGGATCGATTGATGGCATGATTCTTTGTTAGACATAACCATGTAGTTTCTAACACTGAGCATGGTCACGTTTGGCACGTAACACATACCTTTTTGTGACTTAGTACTACTCTCTTCAAGGGGAGATGCATTTAAAGAAGAAAGAGCGAGAGAAAGAGAGCCTCGATCTGAAGGAGTTAACTGCCAGGCCTACTTCATAAAATGCTTTGTTGGGCGTGTTGGTTCATTCTGGAATAGGTTTGAGCACAAACGGACAACAAACAAGAAGAGTGGATGACTGTAAGAGCACTCACGTATTACCAACTGGTTTTATTCAGCAGGCACACCTGTGTTGTACTGAAATTTATATTCCCATGTGTTTCACGAATAAAATCAATTGGTAGTGAGCGCTCGTATACTATCTCTCTTCTTGTATGTTGTCGCCCCGCCGTAGTGGTCTAATGGCTAAGGCTCTCGGCTGCTGACCCGCAGGTAGCGGATTCGAAACCCGGCTGCGGCGGCTGCATTTCCGATGGAGGCGGAAATGCAGCCTCATTTCCGCCTCATTTCTGCCTCCATCGGAAATGTTGTAGGCTCGTGTGCCCAGATTTAGGTGCAAATTAAAGAACCCCAGGTGGTCGAAATTCATGGAGCCCTCCACTATGGTGTCTCTCATAATCATGTGGTGGTTTTGGGACGTTAAACCCCACATATCAATTCATCATTCTTGTGTGTTGTCCATTTGCGTTCAAATTTATTCTAGCCTTACTTCGTGTGACATTATGATTTGTTTTAATGAATTTATTGCCTCACCATTGCGGTGAAACTGTGATCCTTTTTTTTTTTGCGTGAAATCGCGTAACCACTTAACTGTTAACATGAGTGTTGATGAACTGAAGATAAATTGACACCCAGTCACCCAGATATAGCATCTCATCGTCGAAAGAGGCAAGGTATGATGCATCCACTGAAGAAAGCTGTTGCATCAGATATTCTTCAATGTAATCTAATATTTTATAAGTGAACAGTTTAATGTTACTACTTCTATAAAGCAGTGCGTCTCAAAGAGGATCCATAAATATTTCGGGGTGAAGTCTCGACACCACATTTAAAGACACCCTGAACCTCTTTCCAAGTAATCAACGAATGACCTCACAGTCCTCATTAGCACAGTTTATTGCCTTACGAAGTGATTGCCATGAAAATGTTCTCAATTTTGTCTAGAACGAGCGGAGAGACCTGGCGTGTGCCTTAAGTGCTTTTCCCTTCACTCGTCCCGATGAGTGTTCTGGAAGCTACGCGGGGAGAGGTGGCATGGGGTAAAGTTAGGTCAGCGCGCGTTTTGAAATGTGTTCGCTCTGTCTATACTCTCATGCTCTTGCATTGCAGGAACGTTTCAGAAAGTCGACTATGTCTTCCTGGTTGGTGTTGGAGGCGGAGTACCTCACTATACCGACCACACCCAGCACGTGCGCCTGGGTGACGTGGTAGTGTCAGCACCGAAGCGAGCGCCCACTGCCACCAATGGCAACACCAATGGTGGCACCAATGCCACGGCAGGCCAGCACGTGTACCTGTTTGCCGAACAACAGCATCGCTCTCCCGACAATCCGCCTGGCAGTCGTGAGCCCTCGCCAACAGAGCTCGCCTACAGCGTCAAAACATGGTGCCCGCCTGAGCTCAGGTAGCCTATGTCTGCATCGATTAAGCAAGGTTTTGCTTTACAGCCTAAGTTGATGTGGGCTTCTTCCAATGGCTAGCTGATCTTGGTGGTGATTTTGTCCACCATCATTGTCAGTGTCCGTTACAGCTGTCACTCATAATGACAAAAACTGTCGGGCCTCCGCAGTACATGCAGCGCAGTCATAGCGACAGCTGGAGGAGGAGCCTTACTAGAGCACATTATAAACTCTCTTGGGGCACCTGCTACTAGTACACTTGTAAGGTACCCACTACGCCATTAATATAATCATAACTTTTGTGAAACGAAGCATCCACTATGCTGTTAGTCATCATTCTGCGGAGAAGCGAGGTATGCGCTGTAAACTGTAAAGGGTTATGTGCACTTTATTGATGCTGTGGTTAATGACAATGAATTATGGCTGAGCTTTTTGTAATGGTTCGGAAGCTTTACCACACCCATTCTCAATTCTCCGTATGTGATGCCGGATTGTTCCTTTACTCTTCAACCATGCTACATCGTATCTGTTACCGCGATTCCTTGCCCGATGCGGTGCCCGTGCAGGGTCATCTTGCGATGGAGTTTCAAACACCAGCGGGGCTCTGTGGTAGAATACCTGCCTGCCACACACAGAGCCTGGGCTCAAATCCAACTTGATCCTGGTCATTAACTGTAAAGCATTTCTCTGGTGACCAAAGGCATTCTGACCATTTCTCTCTATCTTGGCGCCTACATCTGAGTTCTCTCATGGTCATCTTCTTAACACCATATAAACCAAAATCAGCATAGGAGGATGTGAGTGTATGACAAACCAGTGCTTCCTTTATTTTTTCAATGCCAGCCAGATGCACCCAATTCACCATCCTCTCCTCTAGCCCTTACCTGCTTGCACTCGTCTACTAGCCTTCGTGTGTGCATTGCGGTCAGGGGGAGAGAACCCATCATGTGGTGCACAGGGTAAATTATACAAAGTAATTTTTTGTTCAGTCGTATACAGGTGCGTGGGGCTGCATCTTGCATTTCTCTTGTTCACACTGTTGGCGGTCACAATGCCTCTGTAAAAGATAGGGTGTTTTGAGATAGAGTATCACCGTTTTGCGTTGCAATTCAGGCAACCAATGGGGAGCATGACAGCAGCGCTGCTGCATGCGTTGGCTTTGAGAGCTCTGTGAGGCGAAGGCGGCATTGCTTCGAGCAAAAAAGAAAGAGCATGAAGGAACAAATCTCACAGACATATGATATTGGAGAGAGAAACAAGTTTATTGCGACTGCGTGGGAAAGGGCCTAAATGCACGTGTGACATAAGCAGCCCTACCCTACATGTGCCGTCGCATCACGACCACTCCTCGATCTAAGGTGGATCGATGGCTCCTTTTCAGGAGCACACGTTTGCACTGGCATTGAAAGAAATAAAGGACACGTTGGACAAACATGATTAACAGGCAGTGAAATGAGTTTTGTACATGCTTGCTGCATACATAGGGAAGCTCTTTCCTTGTGTCACATGGGGCACATACTTGAGCCACACAGCCCATGGAATCGGAGTACGTGCGCACATGATTTACAATCTCTATATTAGATAATTGTTGAGGTTTAATGTCCCAAAACCACAACATGATCAGGAGGGCTGTAGTATAGGGCTCCAGAAATTTCGACCACACGGGGTTTCTTAATGTGCACCTAAATTTAAATACAGTCGACTCCCGATAATTCGAGGTCGCTTAATCGGAATTATCGGTTAATTAGAAGTGGAGTGGGGGTCCCGTCAGTTTTGCATGCAGTTCAACAGGAAGAAATTCTCGCTAATTGGAAGCTAGAGATGTGAAATTTTGGTTAATTTGAATTTATTTCCAATCGAATTCCCAGAGGAAATCGTTATGTTTGTTAAATTTCCTATTTTCCAAGTGCTAAACAACAATGCGTGTCCGACCGGCACCCAAGGGCATCGCAGTTGACCACAGCGCCGCAGCTCAAAGCGTCAGCTGATGGCATCGCAGTTGCATGCAGCGCCTCAGATCACGAAGCGGCTGCTCCGGCGGTTCCGGTTCCGGGCCTCATTGTTGATCTCGTTTCGGTCATGTGCGGACTCAGCGTTTCCATGTGCGACGAAGCTCCACGTGCATTTACTATGGCAACTCGCGGGCCTTATCAGACGCTTCACTTGACAAGTGAGCTAGACGTTGATGGTCTCCTGCCAGCTCTCCGTGATGTCCCTTTCGAGGAGTACATTGCCACTGACATTTCGGTAGGAACGTGCGGTGCACTGTCGGACGCTGAGATCATGGAGATTGTTCGGCCCAGCGAGCCTAGCCATGAAACTGAGGTTGACGACGCCGACGCCGCAAGAGAGCCACTACCACGGGCTGCTGATGTAGCCGCAGGCCTTGCCCTCGCGCAGTGGTTTTTCACTGCTGAAAGCATCGCCGAGGAATCACTCGGGCACATATACAGCCTGCAGGACTTGCTTTCTGCTGCAAGATTCAGCAAACAGAAGCAAACGGCAATCACAGAATTTTTCTCATAAACTGCTTTGAAATAAATGTATTTTTGGTTCATTGTGGGTAATTGGAATTCCGCTTAATTTGAAGTTTTTCGCGGTCCCCGTGAACTTCGTATTAACGAGAGTCGACTGTATGTGAGCTTCTAATATTTTTGCCTCCACTGAAAATGAGGTGAACCAGCAACAGTGAGAATAGACCTAAGAAATTTTCACATGGTGGCAAATACATAGTTATTGCTCCGTGTGTCGTGCCATGTGAATTGCTCAGCAAACGGCTGTATTAAAGCTGGCCACCGATTACAAAAGGCTCAGCTGTAATTTTATTTTTTTATTTGTAAAACCCTCAGGTTACATTTGTACATTATAGAGGGGAGGTGCGGAAATACAGATGAACAACAAAATAACTACAGGATTATGTACACACATTTAACATGAAGATAAATATTAAGATCAGCTTTTGCATGCAAGGAGTACACTTTATTAAAAGACAACTGAACTAGAACCACAAAGAGTACACTAAACAGTCAATAACACTTATGCCGATTAGTGCAGTTCACGATTCTGAGTTTATTAGTGCATTCTTAAATCGAGTGGGGTCGGTGATGCTTACTAATGATGCAGGTAGGTTATTCCAATCTATTGACGTCTTAGGGAGGAATGATTGTGAACATGCTAAGGTTTTGTGACGAGGTACGCTGACCTTGTACACGTGATCATGGCGAACAGAATGGTACGATGCCGGGTGAATCCAAAGTGAGCGAAGGAAAGGATTGTGGTGATAGATTTTATGAAATAATCAGATGCATGAGTTCTTTCTGCGAATAGAGAGTAATGGAATATGGAGTGTACTCTTCATTAATGAAACACTAACAGAGCATTGATAATTACCTAGGATGAAACGAACAGCGCGATTTTGTACCGATTCAATTTCGTTAATTAATGTGACTTGATGTGGATCCCAGATGGATGAAACGTATTCCAGTTTGGGGCGGACAAAGCTTATATATAGCAGTCATTTTAATTGTACAAGTGCAAACGAAAAATTTCTTTTTGAATATCCTAACGAGCGGTTAGCTTTTGATGTTATGTAATTTATGTGCTGCTTCCAAGAGAGGTCGTTTGTAATATGAATGCCAAGATGACGGTAGGTGCTAACAGATTGAAGGGGGCAGTTATTTAGTGCATAGGCAGTTAGTAGTTAATTAATTGTTAGTAGCAACAGTATTGCCAGCATAATCAGCTATGTAGGTGGACAGATTGCTTTGCACTTGCATAATAAAGTACCAGCTTTCATGTCGTGTGAGTTGTGCAATTGGTGGGTATTTTAAAGCTATCCACCTATTGCAAGGGGCTAAGCCACAAATGCTTCTCAGCAGTGGCAACAAAGTTTTGTGTATTTGCATAGTATAACTCCATGTGATTTGCTTGCTGGGTGGTTAAAGATGCTGTATGATACAAATGTCTGTGTCACAATTCATCTTCAATGGCTTAGCCGTAGCATCCTTTATAGACAGTTTTATGCAGGCTCTTTGTTAGACTCAACAGCAGTGCACAGTTTGTCGTGACTTTTGCTTGTTAAGGTCTTGTTGCGACTCAATGCTTCTGAGCAATGAAGTTCCATTTTCAGCAGCAGCATCAACAGTAGAAATAGTTTATTGCAGGATGAAAAAAAGGAAAAAAAAGAGACAGAGAAGAGGCAGTGATGTTAAGCAGTTTAGCATAACTATTATACTACCCTGCAGAGAGGAAAGGAATGGGGGGAATCAATATATGAGTAAAGAAAGAGGGGGAGTGCACACGCACGTGACGTCACAAAGCAGAGCAGTGTTCTTGTTCGATATACGGTATCATTATGATACAAGTGTTCCCTTTGCACCCCCTGGCTGATTAATGCACTTGCGTACCTTCACTCGTTACTTCAGCAGTACTTCAACTTGTTCCATGCAACATCCAGTCACAGTTTACGACCTGTGCAATCTATGTTCTTCTGCTGTGCAGGCTACAGGAGCTGGCTGAAAAGATGTGGCAGCAGGGCTCAGCAGACCCCGAGCTGCGACCCTGGGAACACTACATTGAAGACGGCCTGCGGGCTCTGGCAGACCAGGAGTCGGATTTTGCACGACCCCCAGAGTCCTCGGACCGCTTGTACATGTCCATCGGAGCGAAGGACCTCATCGAAGTGGCTCACCCAGCTCCTCCACCAGGAGCATCCGACCACAGGTGAGTGCATGTGAATGTTTAAGAAAACACTCGTGTAAATGTTGTATCACTTTATAAGAGATATGCACTGGGTAGGAATTCTCGTCCTTTGTACGAAGCGTCTCGAGCAGGGTACCACGTTTGCATTTTCATATCAACCTTGTTTTCTAGGTATGAGAGACACCCACTGGTGTCTTTTATGCCCATTTGTTCTTTACATTGGTGTCTCTTATGAAGGTTTTCAACCGTACTTGGTACTGCACTAGTCATATGACTGTTCAATCAAGAAATGCTGTCCTTGAGTCAGCGTGAGGCGGCTGGTGTACACACCTGCCTATGGGGGCTTGTGAAAAAAGTGACACGGATGAAATACAGTTTCATCTCAGCTTTTCTCCCACTGCTGAATGTGTTATTGAAACACTTAAGCAGTATAGAGGTAGGAAGTAACATCAAGAGTAAGGGGGGAGTTTGAAGTGAACAATACAAAATTATCTGCAGAAATAGAGAGATATGAACCTTATACTATGAACCTTAACTTATTGTCACTACTACCTTTGTGAATTAGATATTTAAAACTCTAGAACTCCAGAGTGCTCACTCACTGCAGTTGTTTTTTATTATCAAAGGCATGAAATAACACGCGACTGCATCAGTCACACACTACCAATGTTATCTACTGTCTCAGTGAATTCACTCAGAGGACGTTTGGTGTCTTTCTGCGGCAGACTTCCAGGGCGGCCAGTGGTGCACTTTGGGAGCGTGGCCTCGGGGCTGGGCATCGTAGTGCGAGACGACACCCGTCGGCACGCGCTGGCTGAGGAGTATGGCGTGCGAGCGTTTGATACAGGCTTCGACACCGTTGTCGAGTCTATCTACGGCAACCGTAAGGACCACTATGCCTTCATTCGTGGCATCGCCGACTACAAGGACGGCAGCAAGGGCCGCGAGTGGCAGCCATACGCTGCGCTTGCGGCGGCCGCTTTCATGAAGGCCGTTGTCTGTGCCCTTGATCCCTCCGAGGAGGACTGAGTGCTGCCCTCTTCACGGTGCATATTCTCCTTGATTTTTAAAGGTTTCTCTGATCGCATTCTTACACTGCAACTGTTTTGTGACAATAAGTGAAGCAACTTGCCGCTTTGCACCCTAACATTGTTGGAGCGCTCTTGCTAGAGGGAAGTACACGAAAAAGAGGCAATTTGGGCTCTTTGCACAGTCTTAAATTTCGATAACATGTCTTGGTGTGAAACATTGGCTATTTGTGAATTGGCAAAGTACAGCTCAGTAGCTATATCTATTCCCTCCACTAGATGGATTGAGCAGTTAGTGAGCAGCACACTTAGGTGTATTAAGCTTTTGTTGTAGAACAGAATTTCATTGCACTATAGAACTTTTAAAATGTTGCAGTCAAGTGTGTACATCTACATTAGACCTTACACCAAACACTATATGACCCTTTGTATTAAATATTTTACATAGACTGCCCCTGATATGTAATGTGAATACAAAAGAAAAGTAAGATGTTCCATTTTACTTGCTAAAATCGGTTACCATTGGGCGTATATGCATGGCAGTAGCACATACCAGATCTCGGCCATTCGGTTGCACATCTTATATATTGCACTTTGTAAGTGCAGGTTTGACGCAGAGCAGACGCACACTCTCTGTGATCGACTACCGTGCAGTGTGCCTATATTCCTTGCACTGTTGCTCCTCTATGTCGTTTGCCAACATATCAGGGGGCGCACAAAACTTCATGAGTATACTCATCCGTGCGAGTCAAATGCCCTCTGCAAGATGGAAGATCTCATGTGGGAAGAAGGGAGTAAACTACTCTGACACTCTGAAAGCAGAGTGAAGGTTTCGTGCAATTGAATGCACTGCCTGCTTTTGTACAAAGGCAACCACCACGATTTTAATAAAGTGTCAGCATTTTAGCTACCTGACGAGGACACCTTCTTGGGAAGTTTTTGAGCACATCTGTTGGCAACATGTAGTGAGGGTCCTAGCAAATTTCGTAACACAATACCTAACAGACAGCATACAGTGGTTAACCAGTGTGTAGGGGTACAAGGCACTAGCCTATATTGATCATCTGAAGCTAAGATACTTTTTCAGGTTGAATGCCTCACATAGCTGAGTATAGTAAAGGCAGTTGTTCACTTTTGGCTTGACATTGTCCAACGTTATTGCAGCCTATATTTTTACTATGTACGTATACAGAATTTTGGTGGGAAAGCAAAAAATTTTTGCTTCATTGCTCTAAAATTTGTAGTACTTGACGAAGTGATCTCACTTGAGGCATTGTGTGCAAGATGCCAGATTAATTTGTAGTAGCTGCTCCGAAATGTACCCAATAGTTTCTTAGCGATTCCCTAAATTACTGACCCTTGGTAACTCTTGGACACCACAAGCGTTTTATTGCACCATGCACACATGACGTAAACATTCGTGTTGTTGCAAATCATATTGTTCAACAAATTTTATAACTCAAGGTCATGTTTAGTTTTGTAGGCTAAATGTGTTTCGTAGTGTTCACAAATCATTACAGCAGTCCTTCTCTGCTTGTAGCATTCATTGTACACCACTTGTAGCGTATGCAAATGCTAAGTGAGCATACAACTTGCTCATTGAAAGATCAAGTAAGGGCTTTGACATTTTATGTACGGCTGCAGTATCAAATAAAAACTTCATAGGCATTTTGTCAGTTTTGAAGACTACGGCACAATTTCAGTCTCTTAGGGAAGCTTTAGCACTAGCATGCACTTTACCTATATGTCTCGAGATGGTTGCAGTGTATGAATGCAAACTTGTGAATAACTCTCCAAAACAGACTCAACCTGAGAGGGGAAAAAAGTCATTTGAAGCACTGAGGTGTCTCTGAGCTGTATTTTACTTGCGAATTCTGTTTATTTAGCATGGGACCTGTTTGGAGATAGGCAGCATGCCATGTGGACAGGCACTAGTCTGCTATGCATCTGCGTGATTATTTTGGTGAATATGCTGCTTGCATGCTTTTCTTTGTGTGTGTTTGTGGTCTAGATCTCTGTTTATGAAGCTTCAAGCCAAATAATGCTCTTTGTGGGCTCAGCCTGAAGGTCACCTTGGCAGATGGAATTAGCATAGATAATGCATTAAGGCAAACTACAGTTTGCTTGGGCTCAAGCTACTGAGTTGGTCTGACATTGTCTGATTGCTAAGTTTTACTTGTCTTGCCATCATCCCGCAAGGAAGAGACTCGCAGGGTCCTTTCTTTTTTTGTAAGTTCAACTTTATTTATAACAAAGTCACATGTGACGAATAGTAACTTTGTTACATGTCCAGTCTTTCTTGTTGGTGCATATTCGCTGCAGGTAAATTTTGGATTTACTTCGTGGCATTTGGTAATGTTTGTTATTTTGATGCTCAGCTACCGACGATTCTGAAAGTATCGTTTCATGGAAAAGCGCTTGGAAAAATGGGTTATTTTTGTCTCTTCTTACCTTAGTGCCAGAAGCTCAGTGAACGCACGATTTACCGACGGGCAACCGATGTGCTGCAGGAAATTATGGTGCAGTTGGTACCTGATACAACAGGAGACAAGCTGTTTGAACAGTATCATGAGACAAATGCACACAAACTCTTAAAAGAGCATGTTCATGCAACTTCAGCCTATTACATTATTACCTCATGATAAAACCTGCTTGAATTGACGTCAACAAGTGGTTACTGTATCTACTCAACTCCAGTGAGCACCCTTTATTTTCTCCAGGCATATTTTAAGAAATCGCTTGTGTACATGTTGTATTCAAGTATAAATAGGGGGTTATAATATTGTGACAGGCTATAGTCAATCACAGGCAATCTAATGTACAAGCCATTTCACAGTGCTATTCTTAGACCTGTCGAACTTGCTGTGTTGTTACGTTCACGGTCTCATTGCCTCTCATCAACCCACAGAGCAGCCATGCCTCTTCAGGTTGGCTCTAAATGTCAATGTCACGGTATTCAACAGTATTGTGGAATTTCGAGATGTCCTCACTCTGAACCTAGAACTATGCCTGTAACGCACAGCCTGGTGAGCCGTGGTGATGAAATCGGCAGTACATAATGAGCATCTTTGTTTATGACATCTCCCATTTCTTTTCATTAGGCAAAAGCGTCGGTGATCTTCAAACACCCAAGTTTGTATATGGCTCATTCTGATGACGAAAGTGATTGGAAGTGCCAGCATTACTGAGCTTCAACTTGGTAAATCTTGAAGCTGAACGGAATGAATACTGAGGCTTTGATCTTTGTCATTTTGAATATTGTCTCTTTTTTTCTCTTTTTTGCGCTTTTAGCAGGCAGTGTCCGCGGTGCAGGGGTTAAAAATGACAACTTATACGGCGTGTCACCAATAGAAGCCGTGTAACTTCACACTTCCTTCGCTATTATGCTGGTTCACTCTGCAATGTGTTTAAGAGAAATGAAGTTTTTGAAATATTCTGAAAGGGGCCAATGAGAGAATAGTTTCTTGGGCCATCAATACTCGTAAATGGGCATGTGACAGCAAAAGTGAGTGATGCCCAGTCCCATGGTGGCTAGGATGCAATAATGTTTTTTTTTTTTTTCCTATCCAGTCGGAGCAAATAACTTTCCCTGGCATTTAAAAAAGAAATTACTGATTTGTGAAATGTCAGAAGCGTTCTGTTTATCAGTTATTGAAGTTTGAAAATTGAATGCACATAGCACTGCAGTTGAAGCATTGAGTATGCACAGTGATCCGGAGGTTAATAGAATTCTCGCTTGACATTCGCTGCTACTGGCACTTTTAAGTGGTACCCCTCGCATGTCTCTGCTGTCTTCATTTTCAAGGTGTTAGAGGATCAGCTTGGATATATGTTGAACAGTCAATGCAAACAACTTTTAGCGAAGCCGATATCAACATACAGAGCATCTTATTAAAAAAGTGTAACTGGGCACTTTACATACAGGTTGGAGCTGAGCTGCAGTTAGCTGGGTCATGAAAGTTAAGAGCGAAGAACAAAGGGGCACCGTTGTTCTTGTTGTACCTGCAGAGCAATATATGACATTTACGTGTTGTGCAGTCAGGGCAGGGGATGTGGAATCCACGCTTGTATGCTTGAGCTTCGATATAACTACTATCATGCTCTCTCGCTAAACTAGCAGTTTGTTTTGCCACTGGCACTGGTTTGCTCTGTCCTCGCATTGAGAAAGCATCGTGTGAGATTTCTGCAGTTGCAGTAGCCATCTTTATAGCAACGACACCTTTGGCCGTAGCAACTGTGAAAGTGTGTCCATGTCTCAATGTACATACAAACTGTAGTTGCTGCACTTTTCAAGTTCACAACCACAGATGACTTGGTTTGCTTTGTAACCGCTAGAGGAGCATTGTTGCAGGAGTGTATAGACTTTTATTTGCAGGATTCATTTCTGTTTTTTTTTTCTTACTCTGCTGTGCTACTGTTGTCTTCTCTTGTTTGGGACCACTCTCTCACCTCGTCATGTTAAGTGGAAACTGTTTTGTGTTGGTCAAGTATCTATTCACAAGGTTATGTTCCATGTGTGTCACAAAAAGAGTATCTAATGCGAAGATCAGGCTGTAAGGGTATTCATCATTGCAATCTTTAACTAGGGGACATTAGAGTTGAAGCACTAAATTTGCTTAAAATACGGAATGCGGTCTTAAAAACCTTTTTTGTACTTCGGTAGCAAAGGAGAAAGTTGATTACGAAAAGAGGAAATGCTGTCACACTGTCTCAGTGGAGTGTCAAAAGTTTCATTGTATCCTCACCTCATAAACACAGGAAAGACGTTTGGAAGCTACTCAGGCTTATTGTTACCTACATTTGAATGCAGCACAAAATATTTATGCTGTCGTAATTGTTAACCAATCATACAGTGACACTTTGACGTCCACATCACCACAAAGAGACTGTAGTCAGTCGCCACCTAATAATGCATTGGCTAGTACAACTTACAGAGAATTTGAATGGCCATGTCAGGCTCTTCTGTTTCCCTGGCCTCAAGCTGTAAGTACACTCATTTCAACTAGAGCATTTCTTGACCAGTTTGCACCAAGTCTTCAATTAAATGGTTATTGATTATTGCTAAAGACTATCAAGGTGGCATTGTCGTACATTTTTTTTTTTCTTGACATACTTCCGGACTTATTTCGCTTGAAATAGCAGTATCTGACATAACCTAATGTTTTCTTTCAGTCTTTCTCTGAAGAGCTTTAGTCAAGGTGCACTGCATTTACTCTGTAGATAAAGATAAATTAGTTCTTTGCAGTGAAAATTGTCTTTACGGCTTGGTTACAATTTCAGCACGAGCATTGGTGGCCTTGTAAACGTGTGTTCCTGCACCCTGCACTTTATGGTCAATATACATGCACAAAATTCGGTCTTTAAGGACTGAATTATTAGATCATGCAGAGAGAAATAATGTGCAGCCTTATATTTCTAATACCAGTGTATTTTAACTCACCAGTACCCAGGTTTTTTTTTGTGTGTTGTGATTTTAAAGGAAGGTTAGGCAAGGTTACAGCATAAAGGTAATGCACTGCCTCCAACTTGCATTTCTGGGCACCCAGTTTGACGAAGGGGGCAATATTCACATCGATGATTGACGAAAGTCCCGTAACCGGTATTCAAGGAGTTACTAGCAATAACCGATGCTCGCAACAGGATGAGCAACCTGCCTGTAACCGCAACTAAGTACCTTACGACCAGTGTTGTTCACATACGCTCAGCTCGTGCCATTATGGTTGCATAAACAAGATCGGCATATTCTGCCACCATGCTCCAGCATCTGCTGCTGATTAGTTGGGGGGTTTTATCACTAAAGGACAGGCTTTATCAAATATGAAATTAAAAAGAAAAGCAAAGAGTTGCTTTGCTATCAGGAATGACCACCACTTACATCCAGTTTGGTCATGTGAGCTCTGTGACTCATTGATGCAGATGTTGCCCGAAATAGGCAGACTGTTCTTTAACACGAGCTGCCAACAGTAGTTTTTTTTTTTTTAGGTTCTGATGCCAGTTTTCTTTTTCTGAATTTATTCGTGAGTGCAAAATGTGCTTGTTCCCCTGTCTACTGTATGGGTAGTGCTGAATTGATAACACACTGATGCACTTGGCATGGTATCTAAGGGAAGGCTCTGATTTTATTTTGCCTTCACATGTGAGAGCGACGCGTCAGCATGTGCATTAGCTGTGGTCTTACTGAGATTGATGATTCCTTGCAATATGTAAATACGACTGGTCTCACTGTGCCAAAGGTGTAGATTTCGAGGTTATATGTCTGCGTTGAAACACACGCTTCAGATGTGTAGTAGGCTGTACATGGTCTGCTAATCCCTGAACGATGATGAGCCTACAGCTGTGTTTGCCTGAGCTAGTTCTTAACATAAATGCTTTAGCAATGATGCAGCAAAAAACCAACTGGCAGCTAATGGCACGCATTTTTGCTGCATACATGACCTTGCTAATGCTTGTGGATTACTCATATATGCCAGGAATGCTTATGCAGTGTTGCGTGGCCGGCATAGAATACGTAAATTGTGGTGCTTTGAGAAGAAGGTGAGATAGTTATTGCTTGCATGGTGCTCTTATCAGGAACTGTGAAGTTCGATGTGAAAATCGAAACCAAGCTCGAAAGTTGAGTTATGTGCTGTGCTAGAGAAAAAGGGTCTTTAATGACAGCCTAACTGCAAAAAGATTACCATCTTTTAATTGCAGCATTTATTTGTGTTGAAGAAATTTCAGTTTAAGTAGAATATGGTTATCATTGGCAGCTGATGAAAGCCATCTGCGCACTCTTGCCTAACTTGTGCTTTTGAGATGTAGTGTCATTGCAGTGGACAGAATGTCCGAATTGCCATTGCAGCATTCCTAGACTAAAAGACGGGCAAGTTTATTTATATAAAGGAAGAATTATGTGATTAGGTATGACTTTCTTGTATAGTTGAGAGCACATACTAATTGTCTTTAATGTCTAGCAACTGTGCCATTGTGCAGACCTCATAAATTTTCTTCTCAACTCTCACCTACTGGGACATAGATTGGCAGCTTTATGCTTCTCTTACAGCATGTGTCAAGACTTGTATTGTGACAAAGGCAAACAGAAAAAAGTTTTGGCACACTTTGCATTGTTTGTTCAGTTCTGTAAAATTCTGTTCTTGATATCTTTGCATACTGTCTTTTTACTTGAGTCGCAATTGTAGTCAACTGCACATATCTTCTTTGTGATCTATAAAGAATAGAAAGGAAACATGACTCGAACAGACACAGTGACATTATGGTGATTGAGTTTTTATGCGATTTCTTGCCTTCAATATTTAATTGCGGGAAGTACTCTTCATGCTCTCTGCATTTGTGTCGTGTCTTGCCTTTGAGAGAACTCACTAGAGCTCTGTATTGACTGCTGTTTATGCTGACTCCGAGGAAGACCAGCACCACAGTTGGTTATGTTGCGCACTGTGTTTTAAGCCATCGCTCTTAGTCAAACCAGAACCTTTGCTTGCCTTCACTTTGTAAACACAGTAAGTAGTGTCTGAAACATTCCTTACGTGTTAGTGGGAGTTCACACGGAAATACAAAGGTGTCCAGAATGTATATTAAACGAGCCATTGTATGACGTTGTAGGGTTGTTGTAGGATATACGCCTGTATATGTCCGACAGTTGTATCACGCAGGAATGTTCTTGTAGTGTAAGTTTTCCTCAGTCGTTAGAAGGGAAATTCTCACAGCAGAACTTCAATGTTGTTTTGAGACTGCTATAAACCCACTCTTGCTGCAGGCATTGAAAGATGCATTTTTCACTAGCTGGAATAGGTAGCATATTCCGTAAAGGTGCCCAGAACAAACATCACGTAGGCTTGATTGACAGTGTCTTCTCATGTCCGAGGAAAACTTGGAACCGAAGGAAAGAAAGCTTAACTGCAATTTAAATGCTCATCTGCTCGTTAAGCCAAAAAAGTAGAGTATATATAGGTAATAAAGATATATATATATATTACTGCTATAGTGTGCGAGATGTGCTGGCATATGTGTAAGGCTGGCAAATCTCATTTGTTTTGGGAATGCATGGTTTTCTTCATGTGTGCTCTACGAACAAACTGACATATGACCACTCAATCTTATTTTTGTAAAAGTTGCTTGTTTTACTAGGGTTTCGTTGTGCAAACAAGACTCGAGTTGTGGCACTGCACGTGTCACAATTTTCGTTTACCTTTCCTGTCTCCTGTACTGCAAGTGCTCCTATAGAGATAGAATAAAGACGTTAATATATTCCCCGCGCAAATGGCTCTCTTGCTTTGTTCCTTCGTGTAGTTTGCTATGTCAGCCACGTTTGAAATGTTTGAATTGTGGGTTAGTCTAGTGAATGACAAGTCAATGCTGTAGCCAATGACAAGTCAAGAGGAATTACAGGGTATCTCCCAGGTTAGCTGAAGTCGGGTAGCGTGGTGCACCTACCACTTATAAGGGGCGCTTCAAAATACGTTTTCCTCCCAAATGTCATTTGAACGAGAAGGAGGACCCCAAGCTGTTCAGAAACAATGAGCACGTCATGGTTAGATACACTCACGTACTCGATATCAATTAAAGTGTGAGGATGAAGAAAACAGCTTTCTGCGAAAAATGGGTAGTTGGAAAATGTCATCATGGTTACACTGACATCATGTAGAAAGTATACCTCCTCCTCGAGATCTCCACTTATTGTAGTATGTGCCTCTTTCAAGATGTATTAGGACATGTAGGCAGAGCTGAATGAATCGCGAAATTTTGGGTGCAAAGTGAATTTGCATATTGAAGAGCGAGATTGAACCGAATATTTTTTTAGTATTTCTAGAATATTATTTGAATATTTTGAAGCGAAATTGCTGAAAGAAAGGTTGGAGAAGATTCAAAGTGTATTCTTATGAGATAGCAACATGAACGTGTTTTGGTCAGGTTGACGAAGCGCTGGCGAGGTGGTGTTTCATGTCTGTCTTATCAGGAATGAGTAAATGCAGAAACTGAATTGTATTTATGTACATGATTTAGTGTAACTACTAAAGTGCCGCCAACAGCACTTTACACATGAACGGCAAAAAGGCTATTTACTCAGCCTCTCTCCTATTCAATTTCTGTGGAAACCCAACTGATGGGGCGGACAAGTGTGTGCTCCCTTCCAGTGTGAAATTTCATATGTGCCTCATAGACAGCGACAGTGTAAGAACATCTGAAAATTTGGATGCTAAAAATCTTAGGTGTCTGATTTTTCGGACTTCCTGGCCAACTTTCAGGTCCAACAGACAGACAGAAGAAAAAACTTTATTAGCAAGTGTGTTTGGACCCCCCGCGGTCCCTGAGCCACTACGGGCGGTCCCACACCATGCCTACACGGCCATGCCTCTCGCCACGATGACATTGGCTGCCCGAGTCACCACAGCAAGCTGCAACGCCGGGTCCCCAGACGAGATCAGGACCTCTCAGTCCTCCCAGCTTGAGATGGCAGGCTGTCCCTGCCCTGCATTAACTGATTCATTATAATAGGACTGGGCGTGCAAACATGGACACATGAAGGGAGTTAAGACAATACAAACACCTACTAACAACTTAAGGTCCACACTACGGCGGAAAAGAAAGAAGACACAAAAGATTATCTACGCATGGCCACGCTATATATGTACATACCTATCTGGCACATGTGGAATATGTTTCCTCTTACACTTGAGATTAATCCATAATGTTTCTTTTTAGGATAGGCTTCTGTTCTTTTCATTGCTCTAGTTATTCTCCGTAGACCTTATAGCATGTATCTACAGTCGCGCTCAATATATTGAGTTGAAACGCGGGAGCGCGTGGCCTCATGAGCACAAAGAATGTGCATGGCTTCAACTAAGCCTCATTTCTACTAAATTATTTTTGTAATGCTATCTGGGAGGGTCTCCGAGTCAGGTAACAGCGTTTACTTAACAAGGTAAGGGCTTGTGGAAGCCATATTCGTGACCTTAGGAGCCCATGAGGCCACGAGCTCCCGTGTTGCATGTCCTAGGGCATCCACAGAACTTTCTGTAGGCGGTGCGTCTGCAGGGGCGTCTGCAGGGGCTGTGGCATGGTAGGCAAACAGCAGCGACAGTCTTTATATAACTGCCGTATTGTGACCAGTGTAGAGAGGAAGAAGAATATGTGCCGCAGTGGGTCACGCCTTTAGGAAGAGGAGCCGAGCGCGAGCTGTTGCCCCGAGCGTTGTGTATCCTGCGTCGGTTCCTGCCGCCCGGTTCCCGCATCAATAGACCTGCTGTGCAAGCACTACTTGTGCCAATAAAGCCCGTTCCACAGTGGTGGAGGTGCTGGGTAACTCAACCTGGAACTCCGCAACCGGAAACTACCTGCCATCGCAGACATGGCTGAAGAAACCATCCAGCAAGGTACGACCCAGCCTCCGATGGTCATCGTTCCCACTGCGCTACGCGTACGCGATCCACCTTTTTTCGACGGTACTGATGAGCAAGACGTCGAAGATTGGCTGTCGACATTTGAAAAGGTAGGCGCAAGCAACAAGTGGGACGACCCTTCGAAGCTGCAATATGTACCCTTCTACCTGAAAGAGGTGGCTAGTCTCTGGAACGGGCTTTATTGGCAAGATTAGTGAGTTGTGCGTAATGTGCAAAGCTGTCTGGCAAACCTGAAGGCCGTTGAAGGCTGGCAATCCTGAATCTTAAAGGCGCTAATCGAGCTCTGTAGCTCATAGCTACTGCATAGAAAAATATTATTTCCAGGGGGTGGTAGAAGCATCTACTTCTCCCTTGCCCGTCTGCATGAGTGCGAAAGTTCCTTTAATGCTACACCTACCCTGCCAAAGTGTGTCAAAATGGTTCCTCAGTCCCAGGTTGACATCAATGCCCCACGGGCCTGCGCTTCATCAAGCGTATGCATACAAGTGCGGCAGTGGCTTAGCCTGAAATTATTCTCTTCCTGTGTGTGTGTGTGGGGGGGGGGGGGTACACCTTCACGACCCCCTCTCCTGGCTACGCCCGTGATTCATGGTCACAGGGGGATGACCAAATCTCCTGACCCTGAGGTGTGCGCATGCAGTCCCAGCGTACTTAACGTGAAAGTTTTTCCTTCTTTCATTATGTTACTGCCTCTGTATAGTGTATTATAGCCTTGCTAGAAGGCTATTTGGCAAGCCGATAAAATGTTTTGTTATTTTTACTGAACATAATAATCACTGTAGTGATAATCACCGGCCCAAAACAATGCCATCCCTTTTGAAGTAAACCTGGATCCTCGAACCGATGATGTGACGTCGTCGTAAACCGTACAAATAATTAAAAAAAAAGGGAAGACGTTTCAGATACGGAAAGAGCGGTCGTGCAGCTCAACAAGCTGGTCGGGAACGAAGGTTGTTTTAACGCCTCTCTCCCAAAAGAGAAGTGGGCAACCGTCGGTCGTGTGCTGGCGGCTTTTCTTTCTTTGTTGATAGCCCTCCCGCGCCGAGCCCGCTGTAGACAGAGAGGGAGAGAGATGGCGCACGCGAGAGCTTCGCCTTGTTCGCCGAACTGGAATCCCGGTGCGCCGCTTTCAGCGTTTTGAAGCGTCCGAAATTGCTTTCTTTGTCCGGGTGATAGTTGGTTGGAAGGGCAAGGCGTCGTTTTTGGCCGCGTGACACGAATGTTCCCTCTTCGGGCGAGACGTTACAAAGGGTCGCACGGAAAGGCCAAACGCATTTGGTGGAAACAACAAGACGGGGGCAGCGTGATTTGCACTTCGTGAGTCTATGTGGCCAGCGGTGGCGCCTGAATTTTTTTTTTTTTTTTTGCTACGGGGGAACCCACGACAAGTGAGTTCCTTCGGGCGGGGGGTGTAAATTTGGGGGTAGGTGGTCTTTAGCCCCCCCCCCCCCCTTTCCAATACTCCACGCTGGCTCCGCCCCTGTTTGTGGCATGCATGTCGTGACCATATTCCGAAATCGCCTATGGGAGACTTAAACGTGTGCTTCCCTCCTATAGGAGTATTAACTACAACTAACAAACAATGATGCCAAGGAAGGTGTGGGGGATGTTGTTTATAATAATTGTAATGCAAGTTTGCAGAAAGAAAAGTGGACGAAAATATAACTTGTCCCTGGCATGGCTGAACCAGCGACCGTCGACCTCGGTTGATAGAGCACCGTGCGCGTTATTCGAAGGTCACAAGTGCGGTCCCTGCCCACGACAAGTTGTCCCTTTCATCCCATTTTCTTTCTTCACAATTACATTACAATGACTTCTCAAAACATACCCTATACTTGGCATCTATGTCTGTTACTATTCTCATTAATATTGTGTCTAACAAAGGAAACAAGCACCTACATTTCCCCTTCTTTCGTTCTTCTATTCGTTAATTCTACACGTCCGTCGCAATTGATCACGCTGAATGCGATACATACCAATAATGTTATGTTATGTTACTCTACGAGAATATCGCGTATACATGCTCTGAAGAAAGTTACATTGGACAACAATACCGCAGACAAGCACAAGAACGGTGCATTTCTTTTACACTAATGCTGTCAATGAGCTTTACCAGCAAGTGCTAATAGTAACCATTGCAGTAGAGATAGCAGTATAGCAATAGGAGTAACTATAGGCATATTACCAGTAGTTCGTTCGGGAAATAAAGGACAACGCTGTTATTGTGATTGTCGCAACTGTCCTGCCGTCGTGGACAAAAACTAAAATGAGGTATTAAAGCAGGTGGAGTGTGCAAAGAATAAAACAAATAAAACTACAAATGAAATAACGTTTGCACCAATTCATTCGTAGCGTACATGTGATGTCCTCGGCATGCAGTTGTTCGTATAAGTGCAATGTATACGCGTTACAGATGTTACGCCCTACATGCCGCCCGATCTGCATAACAAATCAATCCGCCCTCTTACGTCAATCTCCTCGAAGCGCTTGTTACTGTCATTTCTACATTACAGAGTAAACAGCGAGTCTCGATCCAGCTGTCTCTCGAAGTCTTACTGTGCTATTTCTGCGGCGTACTTCCTTTCATCTGGATGGCGCTGTGGACGGACAGATCGATGAATCGATGTGCGCGACTTCCCTGCCCCGCGTGAAGCGACAGTGTACGTCACCACGTCCCACCCTATGGCCGTGCATCCGAAGCTACCGAAAGCATTCTGAAACATTAATCGTCGCGTTCTGATGCACCAGCTCCCGCCAACATATCAAACATGTTATAGAGGAGTAGCGGTGCGTTGTTTCCGTTTAAGCTTAAGGCAACGGACAGCGAACAAAAAGACGTAAAACTCGGCTGCGGATCCAC